TCGTGATCCCACTCTGGGGGCCTCTTCGCCTGGGCCCAGGGCGCGCTCGCCCAGCACGTCCAGGCTCCCACTGGCCCGGCGAAGAAGCGGGTCACCCGCCGCCACCTCTGCGAGGCCGTTGATCCGGGCCTACGGGCGCGCGAGGGCGGATAGCCCGCGAACCGCGCGCACTGCCCGGTAGGTTCGCGTCATGTCGACCGGCGGCGACCCCGCCGCCAGCGTTCGACGTTGGACGCCGCCGGCGACCCAGGATCGGTCGATGTTGAACGATCTGACTTTTCGGGAATCGCCCATCGTTCGAGGTTGAACGATCCCCGCGGAGTCAGGAACCAGCGCCGAAGTCGGCACGACACGATCCTGCCGTACCCAGTCTTGGGCGCGGTGGCCCTTGCGGAGGCACGCGACCAGGCCTAGATTGCAGCGCCATCCTCTGGGCGCAGCTGCGGCTTCAACGCCGCTTTACTCTGGGCCACTCTAGGCCGCTTCGGAGGACTGCGCTGCATCGCCGATGCATCAGCGATGCGGCGCGATGTGGGGACCGATTTTCTCCAAGCCGATGTCGCCGATGCGGCCTGATCCTCCGACCCCATCTGCTCGGCCCCATCTAGGAGGCCCCAATTCAAGTGTCACGGCAGCGGCAGATGGCGCTGTGCAGGTGGTGCGACACCGAGGCGCCCACGGGCGGCTCCCACCTCGCGGCGTGCGTCGGGGCCGCCCGCGCTGCCCAGAGCGCATCCGCAGGCATCCCGTGGGAGGTGGAGGTTCTCAGAATATTTATAGATAGATAGATATATATATATATATATAAAGACCCAGTGATTGTTTGTTTTGTTGTCATGTGTTCAAGGTCGACATTACTTCTCCGTGTTGTGGTCAGTTTTTTTTATCCGTTTCGGGATTCTCGTCCGCGCCGGGTTTGGTTCGGTTCGGTTAGGTTTTGTACAGCAGTTGTTGTTGTTTCTGTTTTGGGCTGTACCGTTTCCCCGTCAAGTTGACCAAAAAGAAGAGTACAGGGAAGCACGTTTAATATCGATTGCGGTCGGGAGCTTTTCGATAGCGTGTCGCTCTGGCGCTTCTGGCCCACCACGATTCGGCGCGACACGCTATCCACCTCCCAGTCCCCAGGCTTCAACCTCCCGAGCCTTTCCGAGCCTTGCTTGCAGGGCATGGCGTGTCGTCGGGGCCGCCGCCGCGACATCCTCAGCGCGAGTCCCGACTTTACACGAGGCAGCGCGGGTGCCGAGAGGTGTGCGGGTGCCGGCCGTTCCCGCGGCCCCCGTGCTCGAGTGCCCCTGGCCCGGGCAGGTCGAGCTCCGCGGGGCGGCGCCCCAGGAGCCGCCGCCCCGATCCTCGGAGGCGCGCGCAGCGGCCCCGAGCCCGGTTGGTCGGAGTCCGGGCCGCCGGCGCAGCGGCTCAGAAGTGGCCCGCGCGCGGGCGCCGGGGCCCGCGGTGCGGCGGCCCCGGGCCTGCCTTGCCCTGCCCGGCCGTGCCCCGGACGCGGCCCAGCTCTCGTCGACCCGCGCCCCGTCCTGGCCTGCCGCGGCCCGCCTTGTCCTTTCCTGAGCCTACCCCCCCCCCTCTCCTCCCTGCCCGCCCGCCCCTCGGCCCTGCCCGCCTCCCCCCTGCCCTCGCCCCCCCTCCACAATTACTCAATATGAAAATGCTCTCCCTCTTCCCCTGATGGCGTCCAGGTGATGGCCGCGCACCCTCCGCGTACTGTTTTTTTACACACAGGATGCCCGGGAAATCCCGGGAAACGACTCTCGCTGAGGCGCCGGCGTCATTTTTTCCCAAAGTGCTGCTCTCGTTGAGGCGCCGGCCTCATTTCTGCTCCCGAATCGTTCCGAATCGTGCTCCCGCTGCAGCGTGGGCCTCATTTTCGGATCGGTGTTTGGCCTCCGTCGTTCAGGATGGCGTTCTCGCCCCAGCGCGGGCCTTTTTCTCGCGCGCCCATCCGCCCGCCACCACCGCGCCGCACCACCACCACCACCACCACCACCACCACCACCACCACCACCACCACACCACCACCACCCACCAGCACCAGCACCACACCACCACCACCAGCACCACCACCACCACCATCACCACCACCACCACCACCACACCACCACCACCACCACCACCACCACCACCACCACCACCACCACCACCACCACCACCACCACCACCACCACCACCACCACCACCACCACCACCCACCACCACCACCACCACCACCACGACAACCACGCACACACGCACGCACGCACGCACGTGCACCACCACCCACTACGCACGCGCGCGCGGAGCCACAGGTCCGCTACGACACGCGTCCGCGGATAGAGAAAATCAGCGCCATGGTAAGGGATGGGAGGGAGGGGTAGGACGTCAGATATGACGCGAGCGCACCTAGCTTGCCCCTCCCCCCTCGCCGCCCTCCTCCCCCCTTCTCCCTTCCTGCGCGGTCCGCACCTCAGCTCATCCCCACCGAAGGGCGAAGCAACAGCAAGGGTCCAACGGGGCGTCGGAGACGCTCTGGCGGCTCCTGCCCAGCCGCGGTCATCCTTGGCCGTTCTGGACCAGGGCGCGACCCCGAGAAGTCGTTGGGCCTTGTACCTCTCTACGTGGCGGGGGCCCCAGGAAAGGGAATGCAGCCCCCGTCGGGCGTCCAGCGCACTCCCCGCGTGTCTTGCGTTCGCCATGGACCATCCTCGGCCAGGCTGCGGGGGGCGCTGAGTCGCTGGCAGACCTCCTGGTCCCACGTCGTCGAGCGGCTGAGGTTTTGCTCCGCCGCTTCTGCCCGTTGGAGTCCGCGGCGTCCATGTGGCCGCTGGCGGGATGCGATCGAAGGAGAAGACAGGGGGAGAAGGGGAGGGGCGAGGTGGGGGGGAAGGGGAGAGCAGAGGTGCGTGGTGGAGGGGGAGGGAGCAGATGGAGGAGGTGGAGGGGAGTGGAGGGAAGGGAGAAAGGGGGGAGCAGAGGGAGGAGTAGCAGATGGGGCGGGGGGGACCAGAGGGACGGGGGGGGGGGGGCGTGGGAGAAGGAGGTGAGATGTGGGGGAAATGAGAGGGGAGAGGCGGGAGGGAGGGGAGAGGGTGGGTGTTCCACGCGTGGTTGCAGTTTCTACCCCTCCCTCCCATCCACTTCCCATTGCGCTAGTGCCTTCTCACTGAATCGGGTTTCGAATCAATCCTTCATGCCGAGATGGGCCAGAGGAGGCCAAGAAGCCTTGACACGCAGACCGATGCCGAGGCCACGAAGCGGCTTCGGCGCATAGATAAAAAAGGGTCAACACGCGACAGCGCGACCACCATTGACAAGGACCGCGAACGCGCATGCGAGGCCAAGGCGGCAGCGGAACGGCACAGCGGGAACATTACTCCGAAGGGCCAGAAAGCACAGGTTGCGGTCAACGCGACAGCGGGGCCTCCATTGCGAAGGATTGCGAACGCGGATGCGAAGCCAATGCTGTAGCGGGGGCGAAATTTTGTATGGATAGGGGACAAGAAATATTGCCGACGTTGACGCGGGAGGGCCATGTTGGAAGGAGCCCAACCGACCAACATGAAAAAACACATGAGAGAAGCTCGTTCGCGCATATCATGTGTGCACAAATCCATACGCGAATAGATCTGATTGAACACACACCTAGTAAGAAAAGCTCGGCCGCGCAAACAAAAGAGTAAAAACCCGTGCGCAGAGGGAGGGTCGTCCATTCTCAGCAAGTATTGGGGGGAGAGAAGAGAGAAGTATCCATAGTGTGTACTTGCAGAGTGAGGGAGAAGATGCCGGCGACAGTTGACAAATAGTTGTGCGTAGTTCGGGTAGGGAGCAGGATGATGAGAAGAAAACCCGATTGGGGAACCACTCGGCCGAGAAAAGGGAGCAGGACGACGAGGACGAGACGTGCGTAGTGGGTGGAGAAAGAGGGGGTGCGAACAGGAGGAGTTGGAAAAGGATGACGGGGAGGGGAAGGAAGAAATCGGGAGATCCTTGCTCATCCTCCTTCTTCCCGCCGCCACTGCCTCCACCTTCCCTCCTCCTCGTTCTATGTTTGCTCCAGTGCCGCCTTCTCTTTTCTTCCTAGCCGTCCCTGTGCGCAGCCTCTTCCCACCCATCCTCATTCGCCTCTTCTCCTGCTCTGCCGCAGCCGCCTTTCGTTCTGCTTCTCATCCTCCCCCCCCCGCCTCCGCCCCCTCCTGCCTTCGTCCTCCAACGTTCCTGCCTCCCTCCCCGCCCTGTTCTCCGCCCTCCGCTCCTTCTCCGCCCTCGCACTCCCATGCGCCTCCTCCTCCGTTCCTCCCCGCCCTCTCCTCCGCCTCGGCGCGCTCTCTCCTCCGCACCCCTCGCCCTCGCCGCGGGACCCCCACGTGAGAACCCCGCAGAGGTGGAGGCCAGCGCCCGGGCGTGCAAGTTCGAGGCGGCGGGCATGCGCTGGGTGCCGAGCAGCGGCTCCCAGACGCGGGTGGCGGTGAGGACCACCAGCGTGGGGAAGACCACGTTCGTGCTCGACGACAAGGAGGGGAGGACCCAGACCCCTGGCGTCGTGCGGAACGAATTGAAGTATGACTGGAGCGTGTGTTGCCGATGGTGCGCTTCTGGTGGCCCTGCTGGGCCACAGGGCGGTCGAACCACATGACTCAGGGTTGGAGGCCCGCTGGATCCCAGGTATCCCAAGCGCGGGACGACCACGACGTCGGGGGTCTGGCGAGGGGGGATGATGCTGGTGGCGCGGTGATGATGCTGATGATGATGATGCTGACGATGGTGGCGATGATGATATTGATGGTGATGATGATGATGATGCGGCCGTGGGTGATACTGATGATGATCATGACGATGATGCTGATGATGCTGATGATGATGTTGATGATGGTAATGATGGTGATGATGCTGATGATGATGATGATGATGGTGATGCTGATGATGATGGTGGTGATGGTAATGATGATGATGATGATGATGATGATGCTGATGATGATGATGATAATTATAATACGGATGCTGCTGCTGATTATGCGGGTGACCTTGATGCTGATGGTGGAGATGCTGATGATGATGGTGGCGATGGTGGTGGTGATACTGGTGTTAAAGGATAGTCGTGATAATGTTGATGATGCTCATGAGGTTGATGACGATGGCGATGATGCTGATTCTGATGATGGTGCTGATGATGCTGATAATGATGCTTGTGATGGTGGTGGTGATGATGATGGTGATACTATTATGTTGTTGATGATCTCGGTGATGATGATGGTGGTGGTGTTTATGCTGGTGGTGATAACGGGGGTACGGGTAGTAGGGATAATCATGATGATGGCGATGATGATGGTGATGACGGTGATGATGATGGGGATGAGGATGGTGATACTGATGCATGTGCTGGTGGTGATGATGATGAGGCTCATGATGAGGACGATGACGATGATGCTGAAGATGACGATGACGATTATGCTGATGCTGAAGATGATTATGCTGATGATGATGATTGTGATAGTGGCGGTGGTGGTGATGATGATGATGCAGGTGATGGTGGTGATGCTGACGATGATGGGGATGCTGATGATGGTATCGCTGACGATGATGATGATGCTGCTGATGATGATGGTGGTGATGATGATGATAATGGTGATGACGCTGATGATGATGATGATGATGATGATGATGATGATGATGATGATGATTATGATGATGATGATGATGTTTATGATGATAGTGGTGATGATGACAATGTTGGTGCTGCTGATGATGATGCTGCTGATGATGATACTGATGATGATTATGATGATGATGGTGATGATGGTGGAGGCGATGCTGATGATGGTGATGATAATGATGATGATGGTGGCGATGATGATGCTGCTGATGATGATGGTGATGATGATGATGGTGATGGTGATGATGATGATGATGATGATGATGATGATGATGATGATGATGATGATGATGATGATGATGATGATGATGATGATGATGATGATGATGATGGGAGTGATCAGAGGAGGAGGAGGAGGAGGAGGAGGAGGAGGAGGAGGAGGAGGAGGAGGAGGATCAGGAGGAGGATCAGGAGGAGGATCAGTAGGATGAGGAGGAGGAGGAGGAGGATCAGGAGGAGGAGGAGGAGGAGGAGGAGGAGGAGGGTCTGCTGCCAGTTTGGCTCAAGCCATTGGCTGCTAAGGCAGCTAGTGGCCAGGTGCGCCGACCTGGCCAGCACAGCGGCAGGTCAACCACGACTCCGGCATGTCTTATTTCCAAGCTTTCTTCTCCCTGCCACGATGCCCCGCCACACGGGGGCTGCCCGCCACAGGGGCGGCCCCCGCTGCGAGCGAGCTCGCGAGGTTGTGGAGCTGGGCGCCACCACAGTCCAGCGCGCCGCACGGTGACGGCGATAGGCTGCGGCCGAAGCTGAGGCGTGGCGTCGCGGTGGCTGGGCCCCTGCCGCCGGCGTGTAGGGCCGCCATGGTACTGACTTGACCACGATGCTGCACAAGGCCATGCGGGCCCACAGGGGCGAGCCGAAGCGCGCACACTCCGCGGAGCACCTGGTGGAGTTGAAGTGCGTAGTCGTGGAGGTCCCTCCAGTCGCCCTCCAGCTTCCGCCGTTCCTCCCCAGGGTAGCTCTCAAGCATCCCGAGTGCTACCGCTGCCAGCGCCCAGGCGAGGCCGAGGGCCCGGCGGCAGAGGCCGAGCGCGGCGCCGCCTCTATACTAGAGCGTTTCCCAGACAGGGGGCCGCTGGCCGCTGGCCGCTGCTGGCCGCTGGCGGCCGCTCGGCTCCAGGCCGAGGCCAGCCCCGCAGCGGCGGCCGTGGCCGAGCGCGGTGGCGCCGATGCCAAAGGCCACTGCCACTGTCGGGCCGGGCGAAAGGGGGGGATTGGGAAAGGGGGGTTACGAAATTTGCTGCATGCAGCTGGTTTCGGCCTCACCGAGGGGCCCATTCCTCGATACATTGGCGCCTCCCGGCGCCGGGAGGCGCCGGGAAAATCAGCTACGCGAGCTGATTCTCAAACCCCCCCTTTGCTATCCCCCCGTTTCGCCCGACCCGACACTGCCAAGGCGGCGCCCTCGCGGGTGCCGAGCCTGAGCGCCCGGCGGTCGCGAGCCCAGAAGTTGCGGATGAAGATCGGCACTTCGAACCTCGGGGCTTCCACCAGAGCTGCATCTCTTTCAGGGTTTTTTGCATCGACTTGGACATCAAGGTTCTCCACGCCACGTACGTCGTCTTTGGGGAGATCGTCGAGCCCGCGATCGACGCCGACAATAATGGGATGTCCCTCGGGCGCGGATTCGTGCACTTCGCTACCGAGGACGCCGAAAGGCGAGTCCTTGCGCGCGCCTGCGGCGCAAGCGGCACGGACATGGGGCGCCTCAAGCTAGTTCTCGACACCTGCCTAGAGGGACCCTGTCAATACGGTCATCACGATCGTGGACCCTCTGGACCGCGCCAGTAGCCCCACTGGCAGCCTATGACCGCCCCCTCCTCCTCCACTCCCAAGGCGGCGGATGGAGGCCGGGGGTGAGAGGTTGTAGGAGGTGGAGGGCCCACGAAATAAGGGCCATTGCAAGGCCAACGCGCATCTGACCCTCGACGAGGGCGCGCTTCGTCCTGGGACCGATTCCTACCTCCACTTCCTTCTCTTCTTATGCATGTTCTACTCTCCCTAACCGCCCCATGCGCGATGGCTCGCCGTAAGTGCCTTGCGTTTACAGGTATACCACATAGCACGTAGCCGTCACTGGCATTGTACTGCTATGGGCAGGAGTACTCGTGGGTCGAGCGCTGAAGGCGCCGCGCATCCAGGCATATATCACAGACTATGGACCCGTATTCGCTGGGCGATGTCAATTTCGCAGATCACCGGCAGTACATCCCCAAGGGCAGGGAGATTCGCGGGTCGAGCGCTGAATTTGCCTCGCACCGCGTGCGGGCAGTGGCCTGCACGTGTTGCTGATTGGGGGAGGACTGCGAGCAGATGTGGTGGAGGGACGCAGGTCGAGGGCGCATGCATGACCCTCGACGAGGGCACGCTCCGTCCTGGAATGGATTCCGCCTTCCACTGCCTCTCCTTCTTTGCTTTTTCTCTTCTCCCTCCCCGCCCCATGCACGCCGACGTGCCGTAGGCGCTCTACGCTTCCAGGTATATCGCACATTATGCGACCGTATTCGCTGAGCGACCCCATCGAAGATCACCGGCGTACTTTCTCCATTGGCAGGGAGTGGGCCGCGCTCGGAGGAGGTGTTGGGCTGGTGGGTTGGTGACGCAAGCAAGCGCTGGCTCATCAAGCGAGCTTTCACCCGTGTAGCGCCACAATCGGCGGCCAATCACGAGCCCTTCTTAGAGCCCAGTGAATACAGACACTCTGGCAGAGTCGTGAGCGTCGACCACTGACTCAAGATCACGATCTACCCCCTCTTCCGCACTGTCTTAACAACCAACACAGTGCCATCCAGACTGCTTCCGCACAGTCGCCTCAGGTTGCAACCGAGCACGCAGCGGGCGTGGCGGCTCACGAGTCCGCCGACCCGCCTGCCGCACACAACTTTACGCGGTGGGGCCAACGAGGGGCGCGAAGACAACGTTGGGCCCCGTTCGGTCTATCTTAGCGCGATGACTCCCGCGCTGTCGGCAGCATCGCAAGCTACTGCCGACCGGATGTTTTTGCCGTGCCACCCTCCCCGCCACTGTTCCACCGTCGCCAGCTCCTGTCACTCGCCGCCCCGCGCTACCAGGGCAGGAAGGGGATTGTGATCAGTGGCTGCAGGGTGGGGAGGGGGGAATGACGACAACCCACGTTCTCATATGCACCGGTACAACCATCGAGCCCAGGCTCCCCGATGACCCCTCCAGCGTCCCCTCCCCCCCAGATGTGCCGCCACAGAAGAACCTGGGCCTGCCATGTCGGTCCAGCGGTCAGCAGGCGCTGATCGTGCACGCCTCCGCGTCTTGCCCGCTACTTTGGAGAGGGAGTGCTGGGGGTTTCATCAGATCGGGACTCCCCCCCCTCCTGCTCTTCCCTTCCTTGTCGTGACTGCTGCCCCCTCTCCTCCTCGGCTCCCTCTCCTCCTCCTCTGATGGTGTCCTCCCGTGCCGTCCCCTTCTTCGTTCTCCCTCTTCTCCTGGGGGGCCCACCCCTTCTCGGCTAACGGCGCCACTTTACACGCCAGCCTTGCAGGACAGGGTTGGGCTGGCTACGTCTGAAGACATTCAAGCCGTGAGGAATCGGGAGTCAGGAGGAGGAGGAGGAGGAAAAGGAGGAGGATGAGGAGGAGGAGGAGCAGGAGGCGGAGGAGCAGGAGGAGGTGGAGGACTCGGGAAGGAGATGGGAGAGGCAATCTTCGCGCTTGACGGCAGCAGGGAGGAGAGGAGGATGAGATAGGGGAAGACGACTTTCGTGCTCACGTCAAGGAGGAGGAGAGAGACGGAGGGATGATTATGAGGAGGGCGAGATGTTGGCGATGAGACACGGCGTCCGTGATCGACTACACGAGCGATCGATTTGAAGAGAAGGGTAAGTGTAGGAGTAGGAATTGTAGATGGAGGAGATCGCCAATGATTTGCTCCACAGCATGCATCGATGCAGGCACAACAGGAATTCGTAGCAGGACGTTGTTCGCACGGCGCGAGTCTGGGTCCGTATGGAGAGCTTGACCACCGAGCCGCTTATGCGCCTGACGCGACGCACAACGCTAAGCCTCGAGCAAGCTCAGGACGCACGCGGGCCTCGGAGCTGAGCTAACAGGGTGCATCCACTTGACGTGGGACTTGCATGTGATTTAGCGTTGGCTCCCCACTGGCGCATGTTGCACTTCTCGGAGATGATATTACACCAATGCTAGAGTTTAACTTGTCCGTACTTCCCTCCTCGTATGTGTTTTGGCCCCAGGTGTGTTTGCTCGACCCCGCGCTGAACATCGAAAGGCTAGACCGACTAAGGGGTTCCACTGTGGGTCTCGGGGGCTTTTTCTGGGAACAAGCGGTGGCTGGAGAGCTGACAGCTAGCAGAGGGATCGCGTCAGCCTCAGCGCTCATAGATCTCACGAAGGCATACGAGAAGGTAGGACACGACTTTCGCGTTCAGGCAACGATGCGACATCAGTTCTCTCTGGCCAGGCTACGCACTCTCATCCGCCATCAAGGTTGGCCAAGCTAGTGTATATTGGGGGCGTGGTTTCAGCGGGCATTCGCACAGCGCAGGGAATCGTATCCGGATGCATACTTTCAATCGCTGTCATGAAATTCATCTTGCTGCTGCCGCGTGACGAGGGCAGGCCTGATGGTGATGTGGGTCTTGGCGCTCCAGCAGCATATGGCGCCAAACGTCTTTTTGAAAGAGAGCAAGCTGGCAAGCACGCACAAGCGGAGATCCCGCGCGAGGTGCAGATGGAGCTGCCGTGTGCACTTTCGATCGGCTCTGGCTGCGCACAATGAAAGCTTGAAGTATTGGGAGACTGATCAAGGGCGTCTTGCGAACCCGACAAGTTATGGCAACCGAACTAACAATGTTGTCCTCAACAAGCACCTTGCGAAACCACATCTTGAGCTTGATGGGCCCACAAGGGACGATCAAATGTCTCAGGCTCACAAATGCGATGGATACTAACTCCACCACCGCACGAGAGCTGCATGGGCGTCTGTCACCTCGCGCAAACCCAGGCGGATCGGTAAGCACTACCCGCTGGCGCACCCTGGCGCACCAGCTCTGGTTTTCCAGCAGCACCCTTTCACCGACAGCGTTATGCTGAGCAGAGACACGAACGCTCACGGAGCCTCTCCGGCAACACTTGCGGCGAACGCTGCGACTGCAACGCATGTTTCGCATGGTTATCCGAACGCCAAGGCCGCGAATTTCCCAACAAACGACCCCTCGCAGCAGCCAGGGCAACACGGACGACTGCACGACCAGCGAAACACTTGACAGAGACCGTAACGCAACCAGCAGCAACGACAACGCTGACAGCATTGCGCTTCAGAAAGACGCGACAGACCAGCACAGCGAGAGTAAATATAGCAATGATGAAGAGGACAATTGAGCCGCAAGTCGGCTACATCCAACGAGCCACGCGCGGCGCGCAGAGCAGTTCATACAGCACAACCACGATGCAAAATGGGAGACGATTCGAAGACAGAGACCTTGGCGCATGGCGTCGAGGGCTGCAAACCGCGGAACGACTAGGTGGACGTGGCGCGCAATCTACTGAGGGGGAAATCTACGCCATCGCGGACAGCGACAACAAGGTGGCCAGCGCAAGCGCTGGGACAACGACATCACCACGCTCCTTCAACACAAGCCCGATGTGCACCCAACGCCCACACCAACCAATGCAAAAAACCAGCCTGACGACCTCACCGGGGCCCGCTTGGCCCAAGACATTTCAACATGGTCGGCACTCGAACAGCAGTACATCGCAGCGTGACGTCGACATCCACAACCAGGACATCCTACTCCTCCTCCCCCCTCCGTCGTATTTGTTTATGTGTCCCGCAGTTCCCATCTATGTCTGTGCGTTCGTATAGAGCCAGATCCAAAAGGCCATGGTCCCCCCTATCTGGTCTCAGATAGGCCCCAGCATCTATCCGATGTGGTGCTTCGCGCCCAGGTTCAACACGCCACTCCAGTGCCAGTCTTGAGCAGGGATGGCCGAAGCCGCAAATGACGACTGAGCCGAAGTGCTTCTCTCACCCGGCGTGTCCTGGACGCGGGTTCGACTTGCATTCACGGCTCAGCATTACGTCAGTGTGCCCAGATTTGTTGACTTTCTCGAAGGTGCGGATCTGAGTTGTGGCGATCGGTATGGGGTGCATAAGGTCGGCTCGCTCGACGGTCCGTTGTCGCCCCCGTTGCACGTGTCAGGTCGCGGATGCGTGTCTCAATGCTTTGTTGCACCATTCCCAGAACCTGCAGCTGGGGATTGCTATTGTGACCTGGTGCTCGGCCTGAAGGGGCTTCTTGAAGTGCTGGACCAAGATGCCTTACGGGGCGACGCCCCGAGGGGTCCAGGAACAGCGATACCGAGGCAAGTCTCCTATGTTTGAAGCGGGGGTATGACTAGAAAACACAGTAGAGTATGGACGCAGCTTCCCAGTCCATCGGCTTCTCTCCTTGGAACTGCCGCCCCCCCCCGAGGCCGCCGTGCTCGCTGCGGAGATCGCCTATAGTTGGTTCGTGGTATTGGCTTGCCCTGGGAGGCGGAGTATGGAGCGGAGCCTCCGTTTGAACCCTGCCGCGTCGGCTGGGTTTGTGGGCTCTACGAGGTGAAGGCCGAGAGAAGGCACATTGGTTGGGACGTCTCGGACTCAGGGTTTTTTCTCCTGGATCGGGTCGGTGGATTTGCCCTCCTGGCCCTGGGATGTGTGAGATGCTGGCGCTCACCGTGGTGGGTTTGTGTTGACATGAGGTGATTCCCATGGGGGTCGCTTCCGGAGGAGCGGAACGCACAAAGAGGAGGAGGGGCAGAAGGAGGAGGATGGCGACAAGGAGTTGCCGCTGTCCGACGTGCGGACGGTGGCGCCGTTGTCCGCGGTGTTCGTCACCATGGAGGCCGCCGCTGCTGCCGTATCTGCCGCTTCTGCCGCTGCCGCCGTTACCACCGTCGTCGTCGTGTTCGCCGTCGCATCGAGGTCCGGGAGATAGGGCACATCGGCCTGCAGTTTGACTCCGAGTCCAGCGCGAAGGGCGTTGTCGACGAGCTGACGAAGACCTCCTCGTCCTCCTCCTTTTTCTCCTCGCATGCCTTTTGTTTAGTTTTCTGCAGCATAGTGGGTCCCGGAAACGGCAGGGCCGTCTTTACATTGTTTCAGTAAACATGTGTTCATTGAAAATGGGAACGGGAAACAACGGCGACTGGGAACGGCAAACAAACGGCCCTGGGATTGGAACCAGAGCTGGAACCTGTAAAGAATCGGCGATCGGGGGTGGACAGACCTCCTACCCTGACACGTCGATTAAGGAATTGGCCGCTTTCGCTTCGCGAGAGGGCGTCGCGGCCGTCATTTTTGCGGGTCCAGGTCCGTCGGTTTCGGTCCTGGGCCGTTCTCACTAAAGGGAGGTTTACGAAAGGGAGGTTTGTCCACCGCCGAGGCGACGGAACTGGCAACGAAGCGGCGACGGAACCAGCGACAAAAACGGCAAACCGGAACCGGTAAAAGATTACACTGTCGTTTCCAGGGCCCATTGGGATGGTGGCTCGTCGCCACGTCTGGACGCGACTCGGAAAGCGGGCCAGAATGGTTCCTGGAATGGTTCGGAGACTTGATTTTGCGCAGGGTGGAGGAGAGCAGGAGAAAGCAGAACTACGAGCGCTTCGAGCAGTACGACCAGAACAGCGTGCAGAGCTACTTCCAATATTACGCAAAACTCAGCAACCAGCAGAACATGCTACAGGACAGCGTTCGCACGAGCATCTACCAGAGAGCCATCGTAGAGAACCCAGACGACTTCAAAGGCAAGGTCGCGATGGACATCGGTGCCGGCAGTGGCATTCTCTCGTTCTTCGCGTGCCAGGCTGGAGCCTCGACCGTTTACGCCGTCGAGGCATCTTCGATGGGCGAGGTGGTTCGGCTGCTGGCGGATGCGAACGCCAGCGTTTTTCCGGGCTCCATTGTCGAGGTTCTCAACAAGTTTCTCGAGACTATCGCGGACTCCGAGATCCAGGGTAAAGTAGACGTGCTCGTGTCTGAGCCCATCGGCACGTTCCTTTTTAACGAGAGGATGATCGAGACGTACCTCTGCGCGCGCGACCGCTTCCTCAAGCCGGGAGGCAAAATGTTCCCGAATGTTGGGAATTTGAGTATCGCTCCGTTTTCCGATGCTATGTTGCACCACGAGACGCAGAAAAAAAACGAGTTTTGGAAGAACGATAACTTCTATGGCCTGAACCTGAATGCCGCCGTGAATCGATGTACCGACGAGCATTTTCGTCAGCCCGTCGTCGATTACATCAATCCGGATTGCCTTGTGGCAAAATACCAGACTACAAGGTTTGATTTCATGACCATCAGTATCGAGTCGTTGCAGAAGTTCGAGATGCCCTTCGATTTTGAGATTAACCAGCCATGCTTGGTCCATGGCATGGCTGGCTGGTTCGACGCGGTCTTCGAGGGCTCCAACGCCACTGTGGTGCTCGACACCGCTCCGTGGTGTCCAGGAACCCACTGGTACCAAATCCGCTTCCCTCTTGGGACTCCTCTCGCGGTCAACGCAGGCCAACACATCGTGGGCACCTTAGTAATGGAGGCCAACAACCTGCAGTCGTATTACGTGAAGCTCCGCATGCAGATCAAGGGGACCGACATTGTTGTCGAGGCCCCCTGCATAGACCTGAAGGACCCCGAGTACCGATTCTACACCTCCGCGAGCGCCTACTGCCCGCCGGGGACCCAGGTCTGGGGATGCACGCTCGTTCTTCACACCGACGCCAGTCCTGGCCAGGCGATCGGCGTCTGCACGCTTCTGGCCTGGCCCCGAGGGCGGCGCGAGGGCGCGAGGGTGAGCGTGGGCTGCGCATCGCGCGGGGAACGAATCGCGAAGTTGTGTGACCCAGGGCTTGGCTTCGGCTGTGTTGTGTGTTTTCCGTTATGGCAGGGAGCACAGGAAAACCAGTAGAGCAAAACGAAGAGCAAAGCGACAACATAACGAGAAACAGCGTTCAGGTCCAGCCCTGGTGTGACCTGGATCTGCCTTTCCTTGCCAGGGGCTGACGGCGTCGGCGTCACCGTCCGACCAAGATCAGCCCAAAAGCGGTCCACAGCTCCGTCTCAAGTTCTCTCCCGGGCAATCTTGCGATCCGCGTCCAGCCGTGGCGTCGAGAACCTCCAAAGACGCAGAAGACCATTCGAAACGAAGACGTCGACGTCGCCGTCATCCGTCGTCGTATATTTTGCAAGGATCGCAAGACGGGGACTGGCCCTGGCCGGGACCGGCGTCGGAGCAAAGCTGGTGTCCCCTCTGGCACCAGGGAGTATTTGGGCAGCAGGCCCCGCCAGCGGGGAACGCTGGCGCCCAGCAGGCCTACCAGCAGGAGCGTTGGAGGGACGTCGGCGCTGTCGACGACGTCGAACGAGGATCGAGGATCTAGTTCTTTCTTCCCTACTGCTCTCTTCGGGCCTCCGAGGGCGCCCTCATCGCCACGGCTGGATCCGCCTCGAGGCTCGTGTCCGAGAGGTCCTCGGGCCGATGGATGACGGCAGCCACGTTCCCAGCGGGTCTCGATGCCGCTGACGGCCCCGACTCGAAAGTTTGGCCAGGAGGACATACCTGGAAGGTGGTCCAGGGGCCGATTCCGAGACGGCCGTTGTTGGTCGGGCGGCGTCGGCGGCGGCGGCGGCGACGACGATGACGACGTCGACGTCGACGACGACGAAGACGACGACGACGACGAAGACGACGACGACGATGACGACGACCGACCGACCGACCGACCGACCGACCGAACGGCCTACCCACCCCTCTTGGGGTGCTTTCGGGCCAGAATTTCGACGACGATGGCGGCGATGATGACGACGGCGACAGAGATTACCCCCGACGGTCCGGAAGATCCCAGAGGTCCTCAGATACCTTCTGAGGCCTCGGAAGGTTACCAGAAGTCCCCGAGGGTGAAACGCATCCTTCAGAGAAACTCCACCCCAGAAAACATCGCCCCAGTGAGGGGGCAGCGGAGGAGGTGGCGCCTGAATTCATGATTGGAAACATTTGGTTACCAGAGCTGACGCCCGAGGATGATGGCACCACGAGCTAACAGGTGACCAGAAAAGATATGCTCGACGCTTCCCGTATCCCTACCAGCCACTTGACTTACACTTTCACGACTTGTTAGACGGCGCGCGGCTGCCCGCGTCGCTCGCGAGCAAACAAGTATCCCTACCAGCCGATCCCAAAACAACAACTTTGTCGAAGCATGCCGACTGTCGTGGTTTCCGGCCGTACTTCCTCCTGCCCTCGCCTATCTCCTCTTGTTCCTCCTAATTACTACTTGCTTCCTCTTACTTCCTCCTTGTGGGAGGAGTGGGAGAAGGACGGGGCGGAGGAGGAGGAGGAAAAGAAGGCGGTGGGATGAGAGAGGAAGAGAGCGACGACGACGACGACAACGACGACGGCGACGACGACGGCGATGACCACGACACTGACGACGCAACAGACGACGAGGACGAAGACGACGACCACGAAGACGACGCCGATGACGACAACGAAGGAGGAGGAGGAGGAGGAGGAGGAGGAGGAGGAGGAGGAGGAGGAAGAAAGAGGGCGAACACAAGAGCCATAAGCCTTCTGAATGACTCTTTTGGAGTCTCCTCTGGTTTCTCTTGGAAGTGCACAGGAGGAGGAGGAGGAGGAGGAGGAGGAGGAGGAGGAGGAGGAGGAGGAGGAGGAGGAGGAGGAGGAGGGAGGAGGAGGAGGAGGAGGAGGAGGGAGGAGGAGGAGGAGGAGGAGGAGGAGGAGGAGGAGGCGGGGGAGGCGGGGGAGAGAGGGAGAGGAGGGCGGATGGAGGAGGAGGAGGAGGAGGGGGCGGATAAGGAGAAGGAACATGAGGAGGAGGAAGAGGAGGAGGAGGAGGAGGAGGAACAAATGACGATTAGAAGAGCTTCCTCGGATGTCTCTTGTTTATTTGAGTCCTCTTGGAGCGTCTGGGGACATTTTAGGTGCCTCGGGGATCCTGTTGAAGCCTCTTGGGGTCCTCTTGGGAGCCTCTTGGAGACCTCTGGGGCTCCTCTTGGGACCGTCTGGGCGCCTCTCGGGGCCCTCTTGGGGCGCTCTTGGGAGCCTTCGGGGCGCTCTTGGCGGCATCTTGGAGGAACTGTGTTAAACAAGAAGGGTTCCCCAATTAGGGCTGCCCCTCGGGAGCCCCACCAATTGTCTCTTGGAGCGCTCTTGGAGCGTTCTTGGGCGCACTTGGGGCCGTCTTGGGGCACGTTGTGGCCTCGCTTGGGGCCCTCCTTGGCCGCCTTGGAGCCATCTTGAGGCCTGGGAAGGCTATCGAAAGCGAAGGGGCGATGATGCAAGAACCAGTGACTTACCTTTTGTTGTTTGAACGAAGTTGGCTTCTTGGAGGCCTCCTTGACGGTCTCGGAAGCCTCTTGGGGCCGTCTTGGAGAGGTCTTGGGGCCTCTTGGAGTATCTTGGGAACCATCTTGAGGCATCTCAGGCTATCTTGAAGCCTCTCCGAGGCGCTCTTGGAGCCGTCTTGGGCCATCTTGAATTCTCCAGCTACCAGCGAACCCCCCCGTCCAGGTCCAGGGGAGGGGGGAGGGGGAGAGGTCAAGCTACCCACCCGCCCGCAAGCCGTCCAGCTCACTCCCATCCGCCCTCCCAGGACATAAGTCACTCCCGGGCCTGAGCATGTTCAGCGGCCGTCTTTGGATGGACAGCTACTGGGGACCAAAGCCGACCCCAGGGTCGCGACGCTTGGGCGAGATGCGCCACGCATGCCAGGGGCGCCACGCGCGCCAGGCACCCCTGGGGCCCGAGCGTGCCAGGCATGCCAGATGCGCCAGATGCGCTACGTGCTCCGAGTGCGCCAGGTGTGCCGCACACTCCAGCCGCGCAGATGCGCCGCGTTCGGGGCACGTGCAGAGTGCGTCAGGTATGCCTGCGCACGTGACAGCACACATCGGGAAGCATGTCGGCCCCCGCCATCATTGTCGAATATCGATGCCCATTATCGTGTCTGGTGGGCCTGCGCACATCAGGCCACGCGCAACCACCCCCGCCGTCCCTGTCAGAAACCACTTGACAGTGATCGCGGGATGGCCGCGCACGATCCAGATTTAGTTGCGAGGTGCATGTTGTATTGTTGTTTTATTGTCAGGGATGGTAGCCTGCAGCAAGGAATATGCTGACACCCCCACCGCCCTTGTCAAAACAATACAAAATCCTCGCGGTTCTCACGAACATGATTCAAGGCTTTGCCCCAAAGTGTACCTTTCATTGTTTCGTGACAGCGATGGTGGGTGGGGGGGGGGCGCATCGGGTTGGCCGCGCATGCTCCAAATGAAGGGGAAGGAGAAGGTTGGAAAAGGAGCCGCCCTAGACCACTTATGCCCAGAGGGCTGGTGGGGATCGTGTGTAAGAGGCCCTTGCTGCATCTGCTGCAGCGCCTGCCAGGACCGCTGGGCGCCCGGACTACGGGGGTGGGCGACCGGCGCCCAGGTCCAGCCGCGATTTGGAGCTCGCAGCCGAAACCTGAACGGCTGCAAACCCAGCAGTGGATTGGGCTGAGCCCAGTGCAAGTGATCAGTCTCCCCCTGGTGCGGAGGCGGGTGGCGCACGCGAAGACCAGCCACGCGACGGCCACGACACCGCCCGCACCAGCCACGCGAGAGCCTTGACAGGCTGGCACCCTCCGCAGGGTGTCACGCCGCCCCACGCCCAGCGTGGGCGGGGGCCACAGAGCGTAACAGGAAAAACTCACCCTCATCATACGCTCTCGCTCTGTCCGCGATCGCTCTGTCGAGGCTCCTGAATAAGCAAGTGCATAATTGTTGACGCTACGCGTATCCTCACCATCCTCCGTAGCCGCTGGCTCAAGCCGCTCTGGCTCAAGCGGGCCTCAGCGGCTGGCCGGGCCTCCGCCCCTCGGTCCTCGGCCTCCCCGCCTGCGGGGGCGTGCGAGGGGGTCGCCCCCCTCCGCGCCCCCGCTCGCTCCGCCATGGAGTCGTGCTCGGCGCGGCGGCGGCGGCAGCGGCGCGCCGCAGCCTGTCGCGCCGCCGCCGCGGCCGGCCCGGCCGGCCTGCTGCCGCCGCGGCCCAGCCTGGCCCTTGTCGGCCTCGGAGTGGCCGGCGCCGCCCGCCGCCGCGGCCGCCGCCGCCGCCGCGGCGCCGCGGCCGTGGCGGCGGCCGGCCGCGGCGAGACCGCCGCGGCCGCCGGCGCTGTGGCGCGCGCCGCGGCGCTGGGGCCTGCCGCGGCGGCCGCGGCGGCCGCGGGTGCGGCGGCCGCTGCTGTGGCCGCCGCGGCCGCGGGTGCCGTCGCGCCCGCCGCTGCGCCCGCCGCGGCCGCCGCTGCCGCCGCCGCCGCCGCGGCCGCCTCTGGCGGACCGCTGGCGGCGGCCGCTGATCGTGGAGCTGGCGCCCAGCACCAGCACCCACGTCATCCTGAACAGCTGGTGCGAGAAGGGCAGGCGCTGGCAGTGGCAGCTGGCCGTGGCGCTGGTGAGCGAGATCCTGGTCATGAAGCTGGAGCCCAACATCACCACGTACGGCACTGTGAACAGCGCGTGCAAGATGAGCAGGCGTCGGCAGTGGCAGCAGGCAGCGCCGCTGCTGGGCGAGATTGTGGCCGCGAAGCTGGAGCCCACCATCTTCGCCAACGGCACTGTGAAGAGCGCGTGCGAGAAGAGCAGGCTGCAGCAGTGGCAGCAGATTGCGGCGCTGCTGGGCGAGATTGTGGCAGCGAAGCTGGAGCCCAACATCATCACCTACGGCACTGTGAAGAGCGCGTGCGTGAAGAGCAGGCGTCGGCAGTGGCAGCAGGATGTGGCGCTGCTGGTCGAGGCCCCGGTCGTGAAGCTGAATCCCATTTTCATCAACTCTGGCACGGTGAACGGCGCGTACGAGAAGAGCAGGCGTCGGCAGTTTGTGGACGCGAAGCTGGAGCCCACCATCTTCACCAACGGCGCTGTGAAGAGCGCGTGCGAGAAGAGCAGGCGGCAGCAGTGGCAGCAGGTTGTGGCGCTGCTGGGCAAGACTGTGGCAGCGAAGCTGGGGCCCAACATCATCAACACGTACGTCACTGTGAACGGCGCGTGCGAGAAGGGCAGTCGTCGGCAGTGTTTGTAGGTTGCGGCGCTGCTGAGCGTGATGGCGGACGTGCAGCTCGAGCCCAACATCATCACCTACGGTACCGTGAAGACCGCGTGCGTGAAGAGCAGGCGTCAGCAGTGGCGGCAGGACCTGGCGCTGCTGGGCGAGATTGTGGCCGTGAAGCTGGAGCCCAACATCGTCACCTACGTCACTGTGAACAGCGCGTGCGAGAAGAGCAGTCGTCGGCAGTGGTTGCAGACCGCGGCGCTGCTGAGCGAGATGGCGC